GCCGGTTGAGCTATAGGCGCCGAGCCGAGATCTGTATTGTTAAAAGTCAGGTGTTGGTAGTCAGTAGCAAGGGCGGGAAGGGAGCACTGGAGGCCGTGGGAGGCCCGGGGAAGCCCCAAGGCACACCCAGAGTCTGAAGCAGGCCACAGAGGCTCAGGCTGCTACAGAACAGCACCACCTGCAGGGGAGAGCAGGAGCTCCCGGCCAGGGAGGCTGCCACACACCCTCCACTTTAACAAGGACGGCGAAGTCCTGGGACAACCTCCTGAGCTTGGTCTGGGACATCTGGCTAGAAATCTATGAAAACTACCACATAATAGGATAAGAGAGGAGGAAAGAAGCCCCTTTCCCGTGGATTATTATTTTAGATGCCCTCGTGGGATGTGTAGCTTCAACAAAGCTCAAATTATATTTTTATGAAAAGGCATTACATTATTTCTGTGTATTACACAGCAGGTCCCTTTACTTTTTGGAGAGTAGCAAATCCAGCTTCTTTGTATAGATTTAGAACTTACCTAAAGATTTCACTTTTTACTTCATAGTTCTTAGAAATTTAAGGGGTATATATTGCCTGCTTTCCTCTGCCTTTAGCGCAAGCAACATATATATCACGGTGGACTTTTTCTTTCTTAGATCTAGTAAAAAACAGCAACTACAACAACAACAGTTTTTTTTAAAGAAAGAAAGGGATTAAATATTTTTTTCTCTAACATTTTCTTGATGGTCGGGAGCTTTATCCATGAAAAGATATAGTTCTTTGTTACCTGTGTGAAGCAGTACCCAGCCTTAAAGTAGTTCATTTCTGTTAATGGCTAGAACAATGAATACTACAATAGTATAATTGTTTGGGCTGCTTTTAGTCTCACGACCAGATGATAGAATTCAAGGACTTGTTACTTATTATGTGTTATTACTTGATGTACTGATAGTCATTTAAAAACAAAGACTGTTGTACCAAAAAAGAAAAAGAAAAAAAGAAATCTCCTAAATGTTCACAGATAGATTAGTGGATAAAGACATTATGGTATTTACAGACAATGGATTACAATTCCGACTTAAAAATGTTTGCAATGACAGTGAAAGGAAGTCTTTGGGAAAGCTGGGCCACTTCACACTTGATACAGCAATCTCTAACACCCTCTTTGTCACCACTGAAATACTTGCAGACCGGGCATTTCAGATTAGGAGGTCTGGGGTGGGGCTGTGCAGGGCTGGCCTCAGCTAACAGGCAAGCAGAAGACCACCCAGGGGCCAAAGAGCTCCAGTGGATTGCTGCCATAGGGGAGTGTGACCCTAGGCTTGTCAAATTATTTTACTTCCTCTCCCCCTAAAATTAGAAGCCTGGATTTGTATGTGAGGTTGTCCACATTTTTAATGTTGGCCCAAATTTATACAACATTGTGAGGGTCAAACAATGCCTGTTGCCATATTAGACTCGCTGGCTGCTCATTTTCTTTTCTGTTCTTATAGAGATAGGGTCTTTTTTTTTTAAACAGAGTCTTGCTTTGTCACCCTGCATAGAATGCCACGGCACCATAGCTCACAGTAACATCAAGCAATCCTCTTGCCTCAGCCTCCTCAGTAGCTGGGACTACAGGCATCTGCCACAACACCTGGCTATGTTTTTTAGTAGAGATGGGGTCTAGCTGTTGCTCGGGCTGGTCTCAAGCTCCTGAGCTCAAGCAATCCACCAGCCTCAGCCTCTCAGGGTGATGGGACTACAGGCATGAGCCATTGCACCTGTCCAGAGATGGAGTCTTGCTATATTGCCCAGGCTAGTCTCAAATTCCTGGCCTTAAGTGATCCTCCTGCCTTGGCCATCCAGCGTGCTGGGATTATAGGCATGAACCACTGTGCCCTGCCTGGATGTCCATTTCCAATGTCTCTCTTGGAGGTGAAGGACATTGGGTCTGGACCTAGATGATTTGGGTTTAAATCCCACCTCTGATGCTTTCTGGCCAATTATTTATCACTCACTATTTCAGTTTCCTCTCTTGTAATATAGGGCTCATCATACTCTCAGCTTTTGAGAATTCTCATGATGACTAAATAAAATACTATGAAATATGGATGAGAAAGAGCTTAGTACAGTGCCTGGCACACAGTAATACATGTCAATTCTTGTTATAACACTTGTTCAATAAGCTGTGTCATTCTCTTAGGTTGGGCATCAATACCTCTGTCTAATTAGGTACATGTAAGAATGGAATTGCCCTTGAGAGTTAAATGAGTTAATTCTCGTGAAGCTTTAGAAGGGTCCCTGAAATACAGTAGGTACTCAGTAAATGCTGGTTGTCATGATTATTCTCTGCCATCTGGCTGATTCCTGACAGCCCCAAGAAAAAAGATCAGTAGGAACACTGCACCCTGTTTTCAACTCACACGTCAGGCAGACCAGGGCGAAGCGGATGAACAGGTCCAGAGGTAGTGCCCAGCGCTTTGGCACCTGGGAGACGGCGAAGGGGATGATGATCTCTGCAGGGACGTAAAACTGCAGGGCGTAGGTGCACAGGATGCCGATGATGTAGAGGAGCTTGACGGACAGGTACAGCCTGCAAAACACACCAGAGTGCTGCTCTCCAGGGCCACTGTGCTCTGACACCAGCCTCCTTGGAGCATCAACCTCTGACCTTGGCACAGTCCCATAGGCCTCTGTGTCCTCATCTGAAAATGATGGAGAAGGACCTTCTAAGAGTCACGAGGGAGTCACACCACGGTACACAATAAAAAAAGTGGGACATGATGGATTTGATGGAAACTGCTGTAAGAGTCACATCTAAATGAAAAAGAAAAAGAATCTTGCCCATGGGAATATATAGCACTTCCATAAAGTACTATCATCTGATGCTCAATCTTGGATTTTAGGAAAGAGGGGCTCAGGACAGATACTTTGCCTAGGGACACACAGTGATGAGTGGCTCAGATCAGAGTTCATGCATCTAAAAGACACTAGTCCTTAGTGATCTCTGTCAGTCTTTAGGAATTCTCTGGTTTCCCCAAAACTCATGGCATGTGACAGACCCTCAACAGATGCTTCTAGTTGGTTGAGAAAACTGCAGAACCCCAGAAGGGACAGTTTATACATGGCGTTGTGTGGAGGTTGGTGGGGTTGGGAGTGGCATAAAAGGAGAAACAGTGTCACTCGTAGGGCTCGAGCTATGGGCAGAGAACATGTTAGGTTTCAGCGGCTGTTGAATTCTATCAAAGTTTTCTGTGACCTATCAAGATACAACTATCTTTTAGTCCACTAATGTGATAGATCCATTTGCATCTAAATGTGTACGTGCCATTGTGTACACACGTGTATGTGCTAAATGTGTAGCCCATTGCTTGAAAAGGCTAATTTTCACATTTCTGTTTCTTGCACTAATCTTGCTGCTTGCAATATCCTTTGTAATCTGTTTTAATTTGTCCAAATCCCACTGATTTTTTAAAATTCCCCCTTTTTTGAGCAGGTACCACATGCCAGATGCTTTTAGACTTGGCCCAACTTGATCCTCATGACAACTCTGCTTTGTAATCAAGGAAACTGCGGCTCAGAGAGGTGAAGAGAATCATCTGTGACCACAAGCTAGTAGGTGGTGCAGCTGGGACTTGGACCCAGGGGTATCACAGCTGTCCTTGTTTGGATGGAGCTGTCTTGTTGGACAACAAGTTTCCCTGTTGTCCCCTTCCGATGTGATTTCTTTCCTCAGAAATCCCTGGGGCCTCTTCTTTTTCTGTTCCGTGTTACATCTTGTGGACATACACCATCCATCCCTCCCCATTCCCACTGGATCACGAGCTGGTGAAGGTAGCAAAGCTCCAGATAGTCTACTCAGGCCAGCACCATCCACACCTCCACGGGTCTAGACTAGCAACTGCTCATAATCAGCAAGCAGTAAATTTTTGATGAATGGCATTTATCATCTCAAGAGAAAAAGCCCCAGTAAGGCAAATTAGGCCCTTTAGTGACTGACCACTTAAAAAGACAGAGGCATCCTGTCATTAACAACATGCCCCCCTCCCCACCCCATGGGAGAAAAATGCTGCATGATGCAATGTGGATTCATATGCCCATTTAATATATGGCATTGTTGAAGTCTGCGGCAACTGTTGGAGGAACTGGGTATATCTGAAGGTATAATTTTTACAGATTCCAACAGTCTTCCTAACTTGCTTTTCATTTCACACTTTTTCATCCTTGCTACTCTGATTTGAGGGGTGTACACCATTGACTATAGTCAAGTAGGATTTGGTAACAAGCCTTGGTAAACGTAACTGAAGTGTGGCCACACTGAATGCTGTGTCTCTTGTCCTATCCCAGTGCCCCCTCTTCTCTCCTTGGGTGACCAAGGACTCTAACTTCTGCCCTCTCTTCTTAAATCATGTCTTCTTCACACTCAGATGTCAAGGACTAACTGAATTTGGGAGGTTGTTGTTGAAGGAGGAGCTTCCTGGACAGAGCATCTGGAGACCAGGGTTCCATTGACAACTCTGCTTCTCCCTGGGATGCTCTCTAGACCTTGGCTTCCCAGCTGTGGAAGGGAAGGAAGTGACCTACACATTCCACCCCCTCCCGAGTCCCCAACCCCTGAGAGCCCATGGAGGTACCAGCAGTTGGGCAGGTTAAGGGTAATGCTGGCCTTGATGTCCTCTTCAAACCGCAGGTAGCCCAGAGTCCCAATGCTAGTGTACAGGATAGTGATGATGGACATTCCCAAGGACAGGATGGCTGGGAAGTGGCGGGAATCCTCCATCTTGTTTTCCAGGGGCAGAACCTGCAGAAATATCACATGGTAAATAAAGAGGAGAGAGAGAACTGTGAATATAAAGAAGAAAGACATCCCACTTTCTGTGCATACCCAAAAGAACTGGGAAGCAGGGACTTGAAGAGCTGTTTGCACACTCATGTTCAGCAAACCAAGCAGCCATCAACAGAAAATGGATAAACAAAATGGGGTATATCCATGCAATGGAATATTATTCACCCTTAAAACAAAGGAAGTTTTAAGAAATGCTACATCATGGGTGAACTCTGAGGACATTAAGCTCAGTGAAATAAGCCACTCACAAGGTAACAGATATTGTCTGATTACATTTACATGAGGTACCTGGAGAAGTCAGTTTCATGAGGCAGAATGGTGGTTGTGAAGAACTGGAGGGAGGAGGGGATAGGGAATTACTGTTTAATGGGTAGAGTTTTACTTCTGCAAGATAAGAAGAATTTTAGAGATGGACAGTGGTGATGGTTATGCAACTATGTGAATGTGCTTAATACGGTGAACTGTACACTTGAAAACAGTTTAAGATAGTAAGTTTTATGTTAAGTATATTTTACCACAATTAAAGAAAAAAATGGGAAAAAATGCAAGAAAGAAAAGCCTGGAGTCACAGGATGAGCCCTGGACCATTAACTTCTGGGAAGTTCCTCCAGTTATATACCTCAACACCCCAGGGCAGCCAGATCTGGCCATAGATACATCTTGTTTGGTCAGCACAGTCTGTTAGACAATTGAGTACAAATGCCTTTAGCCACATTCTTCTCCCATTCACCAGGCCCACTTCTCCCCCTCCCACTGACTCACACCTAATCTTCCAAAGGCACTGAGTTTATGACCCCCAATTTTAGTTCACTTCACATCACTGCACAAGTGGAGGAAGCTGAGTTCTAGGCTCATAGGTGGCTGGAGACAGTGGGACTGGAGCCTCCTGGGTCCCCCACCAGTCCGTTTCCCCACACCCTAGCTTCTCACTGTACTGTTCTCAGAATCCCCTCCAATGCATACTCTGCTCTAAGAGAATCCAAGTGGAGCCCCGGCGGCCTCTTGGGCCTACTGAGTATTTGAAGGTCTCTTCTGTCTGTCTTCAGAACCAACCCTCTGGTCTCATGTCACATTCTTTCCTCTCAGGCTCCTATTGGCTGAGATATCACCCCACTTCTGCTCCTTATTCAGGCTGTGTGCTAAGTACACTCTATATGCACATCTAGCTGATCTGTGCCTCAGTTTCCTTATCTGAAGACAAGCACAAAACTGAAACTTACCTGTTAGAGTTTCTCAGAGAATTACATGAACCCTATGATGGTCCAGTTAGGCCTTAGTAAATCTCAGCTGTTATTATTTTACTGTTAATATATTATACTGTGAAGACCACAAGTCTCTCAAGTTGGTACTTGTATAATTGGTATTTTACAGATGAGGAAAACAAAGCTCTGAAAATGAAGTAACTTGTCAAAAGTTATAGAGCCTGAAAGTAACTGGCAGATCCAGGGCACAGACCAAGACCGTCCTCCACGTCCGAGTACTTACTTCTATCTACCCAATCTTGCTTATACTCCTATAGTGGGTATGTTTATTACTAAACAGGAATGTAGCATCTTTTCCTTCTTACTGCTAAATCCTCCTCTATATTGTGTGCACGTTTTCCTCTACCCCCTGCCTATGTAATTGGAGAGTGTGCGAGGGCAGTGTCACGTTGGGCTAGGTTAGGTCTAGTTGCAGCGGGTGCCCAGGAAAATGTCCAGGGATTAAGCGGGGATTATGTGGTGAGCAAACATGTATTTTTCAGCTTTTGCAGCTTGTAATAAATTTTGGTTGCATATATTCTCCAGGCCCAAAATGGTCTTTTTATAAGACCAGATTGAACTAAGTAGCTGGTTTCTTCTTTCTTTCTCTCTCCTTTCCCCTCACCACAATCAGACAATTGGAGATAAGTGGTTGTTGGCATAAAGTGGAAAGGTCCCTGTACTGGGAGTTGGATGTACTGGATTTCAATCACATCTGCACAGTTCCTAGCTGCTGCCCTAGCCCAAGTCTCTTTCCCTTTTTGGGAACTAGGATCCTCTTCTATAAAATTGGCAAGTGGGCTAGAAGATTGCTTTCAAACTCTGATACTGGTCATCACTAGCACATGGTAGGTTTTCAATAAATAACTTATTGAACGAATACAGGGTGGCCTAGTTGTCTATTTTAAATTGCACAAAAACTTTACGGCCAACTTTATGATAACTGTATTAACATCATTTTTATAGTTAGAGAATTAGGGTTACAGAGATCAACCATGGGCGAAACAAGATTCCAGCACATTCTGCCTCTAGTTATTTGCTCAACTGCTACACTCTTCCTTTTGCCATGAGTATCCCAAATTCTAAAAACAAAATATTTCCAGTTCATGAAGCGTGCTCTCACTGATTACAACTAAAAATCCTGGACAGAGTAAATGAGGCGGCTATACCATATTCTGAAACGTAAATAGCAGCAGCTTGACTGGGGAAGGAAACCAAACTCAGAAAAAATGACTGCGATGGCAGTGACTTTTCTGCAACAATAAAAAAATAGCCAGGGGTTGTGGTGGGTATCTGTGGTCCCAGCTACTTGGGAGGCTTAGGCAAGAAAATTGCTTAAGCCCAAGAGTTTGAGGTTGCTGTGAGCTATGACTCCATGCACTCTACCCAGGGCAACAGCTTGAGACTCTGTCTCAAAAAAAAAAAAAAAAAAATTAAAAGCTTTTGTGTACCAAAGACACTATCAAGAAAGTGAGACGACAGCTTACAGAATGGGAAAAACTATTTGTGATTCATTTATTTGATAAGGATTTAGTATTCAAAATACCTACAAATTGCAAATGGAATCAACCTAAGTGCCCATCAATTAAGGAGTGGATTAAAAAAATGTGGTGTATGTATATATCACATATACCATAGAGCACTATGCACCCATGAAAAGGAATGAAATAGTGCCTTTTGTAGCAATTTGGATGGAACTGGAGACCATTATCCTAAGTGAAGTAACTCAGGAATGGAGAAATAGATACCATATATTCTCCCTTATAAGTGGGAGCTAAACGAGTATATATGATCATAAAGTGGTATAATGGATGTTGGAAACATCCCATTAGTGGGAGTAAGAGGGATAAAAAATTACCCATTTGGGTACAATGTACACTATTCTGGTGACATATACACTAAAAGTCCTGACTTTGGCGTGATATAATTCATCCATATAACAAAAAATATTGTACCCCTTAACTCTGTTGAAAAAAAAAATAAAGTTATTAAAAACAAAAAAATTGAAACACTGGAGAGTTCCTTTCAGCCCCACTGTGTGAACCAAGGAAAGGGGCTAAAGAGGATGTAGTGAGAAGGCCTAATCTACAGTCAAAAAGGGAATCCTCATCAGAAACCAAATTGGCCCCATTCCCCCCAATCATATTATACACCACATATGTATCTATCTAGCCATTTTTTTCTATCTTATAATTCAATAACAAAAAGACAAACAACCCAATTACGAATGGGTAAAGGACTGGAACAGACATTTTTCCAAAGAAGATATACTAATTGCCAACAAACAAATGAGATGTTCAATGCCATTAGTCATTAGGGAAATGCGAATGAAACACTACTTCACATTTAATAGAGGGGCCATTAAAAAGAAATTCAAAGACCCAAAATAAACCACCACCAATAAAACCCAGAAAATATGAAGTGTTAGCAAGGATGTGGGGAAATCAAGACCCTGATATCTTACTATTCACTGGTAGGAATATAAGTAGTACGGCCGCCATGGAAAGCAGTCTGCCAGTTCATCGAAATGTTAAACAGAATAAGTGTATGACCCAGCAATCTCATTTCTAGGTATATAATCTCAAAGAACTGGAAATAGGTGTTCAAACAAAAGTTTGCACACGTGTTTTTACAGTAGTATTTATAATAGCTAAAAAGTAGTGGGTGGTGCCGGTGGCTCAAAGGAGTAGGGCGCCAGCGGTGGCGGATTCAAACCCAGCCCCGGCCAAAAACTGCAAAAAAATAGAAACAATCTGATGTTCATCAACTTATGTATGAATAAACAAAATGTTGTATATCCATACAATGGAGTAATATTAAGTCATGTAAAGGTATTAAGTACTGACACTAATGTGGATAAACCTTGAAAACATTGCTAAGTAAAAGAACCTAGACACCAAAGGGCACATATTATATGATTCTATTTACATAAAATGTCCAGAATAGACCATTCCACAGAGGCAGATACCACATTTGTGGTTGCCGGGAACTGGGAGCAGGGAAGAATTAGAGTTTCTGCTAATGGGAACAGGGTCTCTTTTGGGGGGTGATGGAAATGTTCTGGAATTAAATAGTGCTGCTAATTGCACAATATTGTAAATGTACTAAAAGCCACTGAATTACGTGCTTTAAAACGGTGAGTTTCGAGGCTTGCGGGTTCGAACCCAGCCTGGCCAGCTAAAACAACAATGACAACTGCAACAAAAAAATAGCTGGGCATTGTGGCTGTGCCTGTAGTTCCAGCTACTTGGGAGGCTGAGGCAAGAGAATCGCTTGAGCCCAAGAGTTTGCAGTTGCTGTCAGCTGTGACACCATAGCACTCTATCCTGGGTGACCGCTTGAGACTGTCTCAAAAAAAAAAATAAAATAACACAGTGAGTTTTGTGTTATATGAATTTTATCTCAATAAAAAAGTAAGAGGAAGGGAAAAGATATGTCACATGAAAGAAAGCTGGAGCATTTATACTACATGATTTTAAGACAAGGCTTTTGTGATCAAGATAGCATGGTTTTGGTGAAAAGATAGACACATTGATCAATGAATTATTGTAGGGAGTCCAGAATGACTATATGTCATGACCTATATGTATATAGGTACATATACATATGCCAATGAACTTTATACAAAGATGCACAGGCGATTCAGTAGAAAATGGATAGTCTTTTCAACAAATGACAATGGAACAACTGGGCATTGTAGTAAAAAAATAAACCTCAACCTCTCAACACTTTCAGTAAAAATTAACTCAGATTTCAGATCTAAATATGTAACTAAAACTCTAACGCATTTAGAAGAAAATAGAGGAGAATATTTTTATGACTTCGGATTAGGCAAAGTGTTTTTAAATACATCACCCACAGCAGGGTCTATAAAAGAAAATTTTGATAAATTTGACTTTATAAGGATTAAAAACTTTTGCTCTATAAAAGACAGTGTTATCAGAATAAAAAGTCAGTCTAGACTGAAGAAAATATTTGAAATTACATATCTGACAAGATGTTTGCATTTGGAATATGTAAATAACTCTTAGAACTCAACAACAAGAAACCAACGATCAGTTTGTAAAAATTTTGCAAAATATTTGAACAGACATGTCACCAAAGAGGACATACAGATGCCAAATAAGCACATCAAAAGATGCTCAAAATCACTGGTCATTAGTAACATGCAAATGAAATCACAATCAACTACCACTACGCACCCATTCGAATGGCGGAAATAAATACTCATGATACGTAAAAGTATTAGCAGCTGCAGAACAAATGGAGCACCATGCGTTCTGGCGAGAATGCAAAATGCTACAGCCATTTTGAAAGCTGTTTGGCGATATCTTACAAAGTCAAAGATACACAGATATGTGACCCACCAATCCTAGAGAAATGAACACTTAACATTCATACAAAAACCTGTACACAAGTGCTTATAATAACATTACTAATAATTTCCCCAAACTAGAAACAACCCCAATATTCTTCCACAGGTGAGTTGATAAACTGTGGTCCTGCCCAGACAGTGGACACTCTGCAATAGAAAGCAACAAGTTATTGATCTGTGTCACAACAGGGGTGCCTCGAAAGTCCATTAGGCTAAGGGAAAGAAGCAGTTCTCCAAAGGTTACATACTGTATCATCTCACTTGTCTGACATTCTGGAAAAGAGAAAATGACAGAGGCAGAGAACAGAAGCTGGTTGCCAGGGGTTAGCGGTAGAGGGAGGAGTAGCATGAGGAAGAATCCTTCTGTATCCTCAATGCATCTATATAACTCTGTGCGTTTCTCAAACCTCTCAAACCTTAGGGGAATGTACACAAAAAGTGAATTTTTTGTGTACATTTGTATGTTCACAATATGTAAATTGAAGTATTTTATACTAAAAAATTAAATATATAAATTGCATAAATTTATATAATTAAACAATTATATAAGCAGCACTACCCTTCCTGAAGTGTGGAAGTGGATACTATATAATAACCTATTGTAAACATATAGTACTTTTCAGCTTAAAACTTCCATTTAGGCTCGGCGCCTATGGCTCAACCGGCTAAGGCGCCAGCCACGTACACCTAAGGTGGCGGGTTCGAATCCCCAGCCCGGACCCGCCAAA